GGTCGAGAAAGAGGTGGGAGTGGACATATCAGAGACCTCAAGTAGATTATCCGTCCCTCTCCACAAACGAAAAGAGAGGAAGATTCTTGAACGACTCGATTCCAATATGCAGAAATTGACAAACCTTCAAATAACCATTCAAGATTTAAAGCGGATTGTACTTACGAAGCAGAAAAGGAGTAACGCAGCGGAGTATGACACCATGAAAGAACAACTCGAAGAAGTTGAGGCGTCTGTTATGAAGCAGTTTAACGCCAATTGTAAATTGACGAAGAACGTACAAGATGGGACATTGTCTACTGATGGAGCGACCACCATTGGATCTGCTGATGAGAGTGGAAATGTCCGCAAACGAATCATTTCAGCTCAAGCAAGAAGAGGGTCGAAGAAAATTGGGCAGCTGCAGCTTGAGGTGCAGAGGTTACAACTTCTACTACTGAAACAAGACGACGAAAAGGAAACAAAGTCTAGGACGAGGGTCATCGAACGACCCAAAATTCGACTGCAGGACTATCTTTACAGTAGCATTAGAAGCAAGAACAAGAACAAGAAGGCGTTATTCTGTGGATGCATGCACCCCACCATGTCTCCTAGTCCAACAATTGGTGAAAGGATTTTTTCAACTTCAATGGTAGGAAATCAGCATAGACTACATAACTGAAAATGGTTAGTCGTTCGACATTCCTTTGAACCGAGTTGAAACTCGCGTATTTACTTATCTTTTCATACAGTAGGTGACTTACTTTTTTGTAGCTTTCAGAATATATGTCTATCTTAGAAGTTGTATATATTCAAGGTAATGCTGATTCTATTAAGACTTAGCCTTCTTAGCTCTCACTGATGCCCTTGTTCTATAAAGTCAAAACTGAAATGAAAAAAATAGTTGAAAGAATTGGAGAGTTGCTGTGTAAGTGGTTGATATCTTTGAACACAACAACAAGGCTAGCACCAAGGACATGTGAAATAGTGAGTGATTGAATGGTTGATGAGAAGATTAAATTATTGAGAGCAAGAATGCTCTCTCTATACAGAGAATACAAAAAGATGTAACAAATCAGTAAACAAATCAAAACTAAATCTAATAGCAATCTAAACAAATATGTGATCTTTAACCAGATCTTTTGACGTCTATTTTGAGCCCCCAACCATACAACCGATGTGAAACCCATTTGAAGTAAAGCCGTAACAGCTCAAACCCAAGCCCTCTTTGGGCTTCCCCTCAAAGCATATCTACTAGGGAGAGGTTTCCACACCCTTATAAATAATGCTTTGTTCCCCTCTCCGATGTGGGATCTCAAAATAGACGTGTAATGGGGAAGCCCATAAGGGAAAGCCCAAAGTGGACAATATATGCTAGCAGTGGTTTGAGTTGTTATAAATGGTATCAGAGCTAGACACTGGGCGGTGTGCCAACGAAAATGATGGCCCCCAAGGGGTGGAATGTGAGATCCCACATCGGTTGGAGAAGGGAACGAAACATTCCTATTGATGCAAAAAAAGGACTAATTTTGAACAAGAATCTACCTATACAAAGCAGGCAAGGGCTCCCTAACCTAAACAGGCAACACAAAAACTCAGGATTGCCCTGAAAAACATACCCTAAAAATGTTTCGTTCATCCTCTTTTCCTGGATGAAATTTTGCTTTCTTGGGACCTGCTTCATAACCTCTTCTTTTTTCTTTCCCAAGTCCATTGCTTTAGTTTCTACTTTTTCATATCACTTTTGAAAATTCTTTTAATCTACCTTTCTAGCTTTCAAATTTTGAACAAGAATCTTCAAGATGTAGACTACCAAAAGGAATGTTTTGATAAAAGGAACTTCACTAGCCGCCCTTAAATGTGCTATCAGTCACTTGAATGTGCTATCAGTCCCTTAAATGTGCTATCAATTCTTATCTCTTACACTTATCCACTGTAATAAAAGGGCTGCCGTTTTACCACGCCATGTGGCACCTATTTCTGGTTTCATTCGGAGATGGGAATCTCATAATGTCTCTATTGATTAGGATGATATGGACAAAGTTGCAGAATTCGGTTGATGATTGTTGGGAGAGAGTCCCACATTGGTTAATTTAAGGAATGATCATGAATTTATAAGTAAGGAATACATCTCCATTGGTACGAGGCCATGAGAGCTTATGCTCAAAGTGAACCATATCATACCATTGTGGAGAGTCATGATTCTTAACATGGTATTAGAGCTATGCCCTTAACTTAGCCATGTCAATAGAATCCTCAAGTGTCGAATAAAGAAGTTGTGAGCCTTGATAGTCAAAAGTGCCTACAAAAGGTGTATTTTGTTCGAGGACTCTAGAAAAGGAGTCAAGTCTCGATTAAGGGGAGGCTGCTCGAGGGCTCCTGTAGGAGAGGCTAAAATTGCTCACTTCCCATTTCTCTCCTATCTCTTCTAAGCTTGATCAGAACCAGAAAATTATGAAGAAGACTGATCTGATGATGAAGATGGTACAAGCAGTCACGCGGGTTGTAGCATATGTCACTCTCCATTCTCCATCTTCAACAGCTTTGTCATTCAAAGGCTGAACTGTGGGAACCCATTGGATCAGCCCCAATTTTGTCTCAACCTTAAAACATGTCGCCTTACGACATAACCAACATCTGTGATAATGTTGGGAAAATGCAACGTATTTGTAACACTCAGTCCACTGGTACATGATAATGTCCTTTTTTGACTTTCGCTTAAAGGTTTTTAAAACACGTGTATTAGGGAGAGATTTTCACATTATTATAAGGAATATTTCGTTCCCTCTCCAACTGAGGTGAGATCTCACAATTCACTCCCTTGTGGGCCCAACGTCTTTGCTGACACACTGCCCAGTGTCTGGCTCTAATACCACTTGTAACAGCTTAAGCCCACAGCTAGCAATATATTGTCATCTCTGGACTTTTCTTTTTGTGCTTCCCCTCAAGGTTTTAAAACGTGTTCGTTAGGAAGAGGTTTCCACACTTTTTATAAGGAATGTCTTGTTCCCCTCTCTAACCGATGTGCGATCTCACAATCCACCCCTTGTAGGCCCAGCGCCCGGTGTCTGGCTCTGATACCATTTGTAACAGTCTAAGCTCACTGCTAGCACATATTGTCCTCTTAGGGTTTTTCCTTCGTTCCATTAGAGTCCGAGGTTCCACACTTTTATAAGGAATGTTTTGTTCTCCTAACCGAGGTGGGATCTTACAGTCTTACCCTTCCTCAGGTCTCGTTTTATTGAATAATTTGTTCGAGTAAATTCATGGGCCCGAGTGTTCGGCAGAGGTTGATGGGAAGTGTCTGTGGTGAAGTTCAAAGTTTGAAAATGGGTCTGTGGGTGAGGCCTATTCCTCCTCCTATGCCTTCATTTAAACGTTGGAAGAGAAGAGAAAAGGATAAGAAAATAAATGATTGATTTGGGATCTCGGGACATTTCCAAAAAGAAAACAATGGAATTTCACTCATTTTGATGGAATCCACTTTCTTTGGTCAAAACCTTATTCATTTCCTTTCCTTTCTTTCTTTCTTTCAAGAGAATCTTAGGGATTCATAGGAGCCTATAAAGTCTTTACATTTAGAACCTTCATACAAATTCTTTTCCTATTCCCACTTTAAAATTTAAGTGTTTTATGGTCTCTAATTTGAACATTAATGGTCTAAAAGTAGAACAAGGCTGGGATCGGATTAGTGTGTCGGTGACCTGGAATGGAAACTACGACTTGAACACTACTATGCCATTTTAGGTCCCAATTCTAATCGAGCAACTCTAGCCAACAACATATGATTGCATCTTGTGACCTACGTTAAAAGCGTTTTCTTTGGTACAAACACTTTCCATCGTGCATTTTATTTTACAACTCATCTCACTGTATTAAGAATGGAAAAAAATGGTTCTTTTGGTTTGATGATGGGTTAATTGATTTTTTACCTTTTTGTAATAAAATGATGCGTTTCTTTGCTTAAAGGAGATAGCTTTCTCTACGAACACCTGATTTTCTGATATGGGTTCGGCTAAACAATGTTTCTTTGCTTAAATGTGTCTCCTTTTTGTTCTTAATTTTTATGTTTTGGGAAACAAAAAGCAATTAAAGATGGAAGAAGGGCATGAAATGAAAGCATAGAAGGAAGGAATATATGATTAAAGGTGAGAGACATATTAGAGGAGGGGAGCCCCACTTTTTGACTTACCCAAAGGCTCATTTTGAGAAAGACTCTTAGGGATGTGTGCATTTTGGCCATTATAGCTTCTCTTTCTCTTTTTCTTTCTCTTTCTCTTTTTCTAAAGCAACAACCCTAATCAACACCTCCTCATTTCATGTTTCATAATCCCCCAATTATTTCTTCAATATCCATCAACATCCTTTCCACTTCTAGGGCATCAGATTTTTTATATCATTTACATACCTTTTTCTTTTAATCAAAACCCAAATATCTACCATGTAGAATGAACTCATAGCTAGCTGTATCACTCGAAAAGCGTTGATGCGTCGCAGCTAACTGGACATCTAAGGATAAAACACGGTTTGCAAACTCTAAATTCTAGATATGATCTCAAAATAACCGGGGTCAAGGTCCTAAACTTGTACTCAAGAGATAGCTCTCCTTATACTGATAAATGATGTATGGATTAGTGATCTTAATTTTCGTCCTAAATCACTGTTTGACGCTATTTGGTGGCACTTCATATTTGATTCAATGATTGTTTCCAAACATTTATGAAATCTCGAGTAAGATTGCATCTTTTAATGGAATATAAACAAAAGGCAAATTGATGGGGTTTTTTTTTCTTTCACATTTTGAGAAGAACATTGGTAAATAAACAGAGTAAAGCTTAGCTTGAGTGAAAACTAGAAAACTTTATCTTTTTTTTGCTTAGAGGTCACATGCAAAATTTGACTAGAGTATACCCCACATGTATTCATTATTTGAGCATCTCTTGAAAATGAACAAAGATTAAATCTTTTAAGGCCGAAGGGCAAAGCATAAAACCCAAACTCCCAAACCAAGCTCCCACACTCTGTTTTCTTCACAAACAACCCACAAAACCCTCTCTTCACTAGTTGTTCAATGGATGATTCTTACTCACTCAAAGGGTGTAGAACTCACTTACCAGAAAGCCCAAGAGCTCCAATGGAGTTCCTCTCTCGCTCATGGAGTGCCTCTGCTTTTGAGGTCTCTAAAGCTCTGGTGCCTCCTCCTTCCATGAATACGGCGGCTATGCCGTTTCATTTGCCTCCAAAATCCGCAAGTGGGTCTTCCTGTACGACGTCGTCTATACCCGAAGACGTCACCGGCGAGTTCGAGGAGTTCCCTGTTCTTCAGGGCCACGGAAACAACTTCTCCTTTTCTTCCTCCGCCACTTCTCAGCTCGTTCTTGATCGCATTATGTCACAGTCCGTCAGAGAGGTAGCAATAGTTACTACTTTGTCAATTTCTATTTGGAACCGATTTTGGGTTTTTCCCTGAAACTCTGTTTTGACAGGAAGTGTCGCCGTTGACGTCCGGGAGGCTTTCGCACAGCAGTGGGCCTTTGAACGGCGGGTCTTTGACGGAAACGGACAGCCCGCCGGTGTCGCCTTCCGATGAATTCGACGACGTCGTTAAGGTACCAAACAAATCTCTCCAGAATTCGAATGTAGGAGACAAATACTCTGTTTTTCTGTCTCCCTCTGTTGCTAGCAGCCTTCTGTTTCGCACTCTGCTCTGCAGTAGTGTTGTTCTAAGGCTAATTGCCTGCACCCTGCAGCTTTTTCTTTTCCCTTCTTTTTATTAGTATTTCAAGTTTCTAGAAAACACTTAAATAATGAAAATTTTAAAAAATTTAACCATATACTTTTAAAAATTACAAATAAGACTTAATTTTGTGCAGTTCTTTCGAGCAAATCACAGCATTCAGCCCCTTTTCACAAATGGCCGTGCTAGCGCCGGCAATGTCGGTGGAAATGCCGGTGGCGGGTCAAAGACGGTGGGGAGGTGGCTGAAGGATAGAAAAGAGAAGAAAAAGGAAGAGCACAGAGCCCACAATGCTCAACTCCATGCCGCTGTTTCGGTTGCTGCGGTGGCTGCTGCAATGGCGGCAATTGCAGCTTTCCAAGCTACTTCTTCGTCAAAGAAGAATGAGCACTCGGCTAAGATCGACATGGCGGTGGCCTCGGCTGCTACCTTGGTGGCTGCTCAATGTGTGGAGGCGGCGGAGGCAATGGGGGCTGAAAGAGACCACCTTGCTTCGGTTATTAGCTCTGCCGTTAATGTCAGATCTCACGATGATATCTCCACTCTTACTGCTGCAGCAGCCACAGGTAAGACGATAATAAACTTGCCATTCAACTCTGAAATCTTTACTTGGATGAACAATATAAAGATCTGTAACTACAAAAACCAAAGACAGAGCAAGCATTTAAAAGTTCAGAAGCCAAATGTCAAAAAACATTGAATCATCGTCTTTGTTCTTGTAGCTCTACGAGGAGCAGCGACACTAAAGGCAAGAGCAATAAAGGAAGTATGGAATATCTCATCAGTGTTACCAGTGGACAAAGGATTACCACCAATGGGTGCTTGTGGTAACAGAGGCAACATTCATCATACCAACGATAGCCATAGCCAAGAAGCAGAGCTGCACCAAGCTGATAATTTTCTCTTCGCTCATACGCAAGATTTTCTTGCGAGAGGCACCGAGCTCCTCAAGCGCACCCGCAAAGGTGTTCTTTAGAAGCTAATTTTCTCAACACTTCCCATATGGAAATGACAAGATGAAAATTATAAGAATTTGTCTAACAAGTTCGGATTGATAATGCAGGGGATCTTCACTGGAAAATAGTGTCTGTTTACATTCACCGCACGGGGCAGGTGATGCTGAAGATGAAGAGCAGACATGCTGCAGGAACATTCACAAAAAAGAAAAAGAGTGAGTCTTTTTACTGTCTTGGCAAGGACATGGGTATTAGACTTGAACCTTGGTGTTAATATTTGCTTTCGGCACTGCAGATGTGGTGTTAGGTGTATGCAGGAACATACAGGCATGGCCTGGACGACACTTGCTTGAGGGCGGAGAACAGCGGCGTTACTTCGGTTTGAAGACAGAAATGCGAGGCATAATAGAGTTCGAGTGCAGGAGCCAGCGAGAGTACAATCAGTGGACACAGGGGGTTTCAAGGCTCCTTTCCATGGTAGCTGATTCTAAGAACAGATATTAGGATGTTTAACGTATTCTCTCTTTTGTGACTTAGATAGTGAGTAGTTTAGGTGAAAATGGTTGGTTCCAATGATGCTTAGATCCCCCTTGAAAGAATGTACACAGGGATAGAGGAAAAGGGGGCAGGGAACTCTGAAATCACTCATGGCAGATATCCAAATAAAAATTTGGGTCAGTCTAATTCTCTAGAAGAGCCTGCTGATTGTAATCTTAGAATTGCTAAAAATGTAAGCAGCAAACATTCTAAAGGGAGGTAGTTGTCATGAGTGCTAATATATAACCTGTTATCATTAGTAAAACGCAGCAACTGATTGAAGCCCTATTACGGCTGAAGGTACTCTGATGTGATGTAAATTCAAACCAACAAAAGAAGCAATCATTCATGACTCTACATTCCAAATTTTGTCAGTCTATACATCTTTGTGTTGGGGTAACTTTATTAAGGGTCATTCTTCTAATGGTAAATGCTTTAAGATTGACATAGAACACCATATGGTACAAGAAGATACAAATCTAATTCTGATACTTATATTGAAAAGCAGTAGACAGTTTAGTTACAACTTACAATGGGTATGAGATTCAATCTACCACCTGATCAACAGCAACAGAAACCTTTACAGTTTGATGCTTTTGTAATGGTGCTATTAATCGGAGAGAAATATATGAAGTTTACACACCATTTATTAATACCAGTGATAGAGTTTCATAAAGGGAAAAGCCGATGAAAATCTAACCACAAAGAAAACCAAGCCCCTCTTCAATTATCAGCTGCTCTGAAGATAGACAATAGTGAGAGGAAAAGGTTGACGATGTCCAAATATAAGGCAATAGAAGCCCAGATGTACTCGTCGTATGAGTATCTTTTTATGAGATTGTCGGTGTCATAGACGATGTATCCACAGAAGATGATGGATGCTATACATCCATAAACCATCATTGAAGTCCGACCCAATGGAAAGAAGGCCTGCACACCATGAAGGAAATTCATATTATGCTAATGAAACTCAATTCAAACACACTCATGTCAAATTTGAACAAAGGGTTGTGCTATTGAGCGTACCTGAACCAGACCGAATATCAGGAGGATAACCAGAGCACCAAATAGAAATGGACCAAGGAAGCTGAAATCATAGCCCTTTTTGGCTGCCCAAAATGTGTACAGAGTGAGACTCACCACAACCACGGCAGTTAGAATTGCAGCCTCAAGAATGACCTTCCCTGTTCATGATTCGTTCAAAGCTCAGACAAGGAACTATTTTGCATTTGCAAACCAAGTATACATAATCTTATGCCCAAATACACATAGATCTGCAAAGAAACAAGTATTCAACCAAAAACCTATACCAAATTTACAACCACCGCCTTACTCCTAAAGGCAGAAATGCAGAAAGCACTAAAGGCTAAAGCAAACAATTTGTAGAACTGCTTTGTCAATACGATCATCAGTTATATAAGGTGTACTAAACACCATATCTATAGCATATCTTGCTTAGTTACCCAAGAATAGCCAATTTACGTACAGTCAGTCAACCAAAGGAGGCAAGAACCTATCCTCTAATTTCGAATTACCTAAAGGCAGAAGGCATTAACTACAAAAAAGGTTAAATTGAAGAATATTCTACTCACCGCTTGTATACGCGCAAGTCAATCCAATCGCGAACGAAAAAGATACCGTGAAAATACCCAATAGAACCAAATTGACGGGGTGCTTCTGAGCGTAACAGGAGAGCGGTATCAACGCTGTGGAGAATCCAAAACAAAAACCAAATCAGAAACAATTGGAAACCCTAAAAGAAAAAGAAATTAATGGTGAAGGAAGGAACCTAACTTATGAAGGGCATAAAAAGGAGAATGATGTATACGGCCAGGCCTGCCCTAGTAGTGCTCAAGAAGGTAGAGATTGATGGAACATAAACAACCGTGGCGGCGACGGCAACGGTGGCGAGTAGTTGGATGGTAATGATAGAGTAGATCTTCCGAATGAAAGCCCATCGGAGCTGTGGGCTCTCTAGCATGGTCGGGTACAGCGGCGTTGTTCCGCTCTCCACATCATACTTCCTCTGCTGATTCCACATCTTTGAAACGCCAAGAACAAGTAGAAGAAAAACGAAGAAACAAAGCTTTAATCGAAAGTGCTGAAGGGTTCAACGAAGTCGCAATTCGGGTTCCCGAATGATTATCGCAGAGCTTATAAGATGGAGAGGTTCCGGCCGAGGGAGACTTCTCGATTCATCGCGTGTAAGCCGGAAACTCCTTTCGGTTGTTATATTTCATTTCTCCTCCTTTTTTCTTTTTTCGCCAAATTAATAGAAAATTCACTTTTTAAAAAACTTCAAAAACAATTTTAATTTTTTTTTAAAAAATTAAAAAATATTATTATTGTTACTCTAGTTTTAAATTATACTTACAAATTTTTACTAAAAATTTTGGAATTTTTTTTATAATTTTTTAAATTTATATATATTTTCTTTTAAAATTAATATTTTAGTATTTTTTTTTTTTTTTTAAGAGAGTTTCTTAACCTAGAAGAAAAGAAAGTAAAGTAATGAACAAGAAATTTAGAAGGTTAATCGATCTGCCATTAATTGATTGGTTCAATAACATTTAATACGTCGATAGATATTGTATTTTAACGAATGAGGTTAAACCCAACTCTCATTCTTTACCGAAGATGGTCAAAATTTACGCAAATAACTAACCATCAATATGCTATTGTTATGAATATCCATGGGTTAGTAACTATGTTTTACAGCTCGGTCATATGGTTCAATCACAATATGTCATGTGACAATTATTATTATTTTTTTTTATAAAATGTTATTGAATTTATTATCGAAATTTATCCATTAAAAAATTATTTAAATAAGGAGGTTGGGTAGTTGTATGTTCTAGAATGTGCTTAAATAGTGTATTCTTCTTCATAGCGGACACTTATTTTCTTTTTATTTTTTGGAATAAAATTACAAGTAAAAAAATAACATATTGACACGTGGCTTCCTTCAGCCCAACACCGCAGCTCAGCGCGCGCACACAGATGCAACCCAGCTCAATTTCATTAATGGGTCGCTCTAACCGATTTGCCTCACGCTTTCAATTAGACGGCTCAACAGCCCAGCCCTCGTTCGAGCTGTATGCCCGACTTGTCACGATCTAACCTAGACTACGACCCGCACGCGCATTCATGACCTATAACCAGTTACCAACTCGCACTCCCGACCCGACCCAGAGAACTTGACTTGCGCCCCTTCTATTGAGCTCGGCGCAACATGGCTCAGCGGCTTATCCGGTTTTTTTTACCTAGTTTTGACCCATCCTAGTGCTCGGGCCCTATGCCTAACATTTTGGACTCTTTTGGAGACACTTTATGACATTATTAGAAGCGTATGAGGTAATCTTACCTCATTGATCTATTTTAAGCAAAGTTAGATGATTAATTGATGTCATTAGGCGAATTAAGCTCATTAATACATGGCAACCCGATGTTATGGGTCCACATAAGTTGAATTGAATTACAAGAAACATACCTAGACTAGTCCAAAGATAAATTAGTGACTCTGGTTTTAAGCAACTAGGTAAATGACTTTACTCTGACATTATTTATGAAATGTACTTTTGGCATATTTGTAGCTACGTTATGCATAGTGACAAAAAAAAAAAAAAAAAGAATGAAAGATCGTGAGGGTAAATGCGTAATTTCACCCAATGTGTAATTAAAAATTGTTGACATTAGCACTTGGGTAGTTTGATTGGGTGGCCAAATGGCTAAGAGTTGTTATCACCAAACGTCCCATATATATACATATATGTATGTATGTATGTATGTATGTATGTATAATGTATGTATATATATATGTATATGTATATTATGTAATGATAGAAGGAAGAAAATAAAGTCATGTGTAGCAATAATTGAAATAGGAGCATAAAATTTTATCCTATGATGGGAGGGGGACCCACATCACATCTATTGTGGACCCCACCATTCCAACAGCAATTGGTTCGAACCGAAGAGAACGGTAGGATGGGAACATACAAACATTTCTCGCCGTCGATATACGCATCCCATCGGGCACCACAGGGACACATTTGGGGTTTCGGGAAAGTTTTGGGCAATTTTTGTAAATAATCAAAGGATGAGGACCAAATTGGAAAAGAGGCAAAGTTGGATTGAAACGACAGCGTTTTTAAGATGCCTGAGAAATTGGAGCAGTTAAAAAGGAAAAAAAAAAAACCATATTTTCTCGTCGACGAAAACAGTGGCTGCAATCTTTTGTGGACTCCCAACGGAAAGAACGCGAGAAAGGAAGACAAAAAGAACACACCAGATGCCTTTCCTTTTTACCCCAAAGGGCTCAAAACCAAGATGTTCATCTCCGAAAATTTGGATTTGTGCTCTTTTAATTTGATCTTCACGATTCCTCAGCTCACCTTGTGATCTCCCGATTTCTCCACATCTATGAAGCAGTTGGATGGATCGTTTTCTGGGTTTCTTCATCGCTCTTCTTGGACAGAGATCTTACGTAATCTGCGGTGATTTTTTCGCCCTAATTTTCTTTATATCTCGATGAGAATAATCGTTGTTGATTTATCTTTTTATTTTCCTGTATTCGAAATGGTGATACACTACAAATTCAATGCTGTTGACTGGACTACAAACTGCTCGGATTCTAGTCTCTGAACAGAACGATTTTGATAAATCTTCTCTTCCTTTTTTCTTTCTTTTTTTTTTTTTTTGCGTTTTTTTCTTCTTCTAGAGCTGCTTTTCCGTAGCCTGAGAATCCGTTTTTGGATGCCTGGGCATGAAATTTTCCGACCAGATTAGGTTTTTGCGATCTGATGATTTGTATTTTTTTTTGGTTTCCAAACTATGTTTTAGTATTCTCTCATTTTGCTATTTTTTAGGTTAGTTCGATTGGGGAACGATAGCCATCTGGCATTTTTGGAGATCTGAAGTCGTGTTGATCTCTTGTGCGCTATGAGGACTTTCTTCCCTTCCGAGTCCTATAAAGAAACGCAGCTCAATGCTTTCTATCCACAGGCTTGGCTCCAGGTTGAAAGAGGGAAACTTTCCAAACTCTCGTTACAATCCTCTTCTTCGTCGATGTAAGATAATTTTTTTTTTTCATTATTATTTTGTTGTATAGTATTTACTTCAGAAATTTATATCCTGAGGGTTGATTAAATTTTTGTAGAGAATCTCTTATCAAGGTCCCCGATCCTCCAATTCTTCCGTACTTCAAACCTGTTGATTATGTTGAAGTTTTAGCTCAAATTCATGAGGAACTCGAGTCATGTCCCGCCCATGAGAGATCGAATCTCTATTTGCTTCAGTTTCAGGTCTTTAGGGGGCTTGGGGAGGTTAAACTTATGCGAAGAAGTCTTCGCTCTGCTTGGCAGAAAGCTAGCATAGTTCACGAGAAGCTTATATTTGGAGCATGGTTAAAATATGAGAAGCGGGGTGAAGAGATTATCACCGACCTACTTGCGACTTGTGAGAAATGCGCACAAGAGTTTGGACCTGTTGATATTGCTGCACAATTCCCTGTAGATACTGGGGTAGATGCTGGAAATCCCAACGACACTCATGCAGTTGATGGGAACCCAATGTCAAGACATGTCACTTTTAAAATTAATGATGAGGATATTGTTTGTGATAGGCAGAAAATTTCAGGTCTCTCAGCTCCTTTTCATGCTATGCTTAATGGGTGCTTCACTGAATCAAACCGTGAGGTCATTGATCTGTCTGAAAACAATCTTTCCCCTTCGGGTATGAGGGTTATAAGGGAGTTCAGCAACACAGGGAATTTGGATGAAGTTTCTCCAGATCTTTTGTTGGAAATATTGACTTTTGCAAATAAATTTTGTTGTGAAAAGCTCAAAAATGCATGTGACAGAAGACTAGCACCTCTTGCATCCACCAGAGAAGATGCTGTGGATCTCATGGACTATGCCCTCGAAGAGAATTGCCATATTCTTGCTGCATCATGTCTGCAAACTTTTCTGAATGACCTCCCTGATTGCTTGAGTGATCATCGTGTGGTGGACATTTTTATGAATGCTAATAGACAACAAAGGTCAATTATGGTGGGTCATGCCTCGTTTTCCCTTTATTGTTTATTAAGTGAAGTTTCCATAAACCTTGATCCTCGATCAGAGAACACTTCTTGTTTCCTAGAAAGGTTGGTGGAATTTTCTGAAACTGATAGGCAGAGGCTCTTTGCTTGTCATCAATTGGGATGTGTAAGGTACTTAAGGAAAGAGTATAATGAAGCCAAACGTCAATTTGAGGCTGCTTTTAGTGCAGGCCATATTTATTCAGTTGTTGGGTTGGCTCGCTTAAGTCACATAAATGGTAACAAGCAATGGTCCTATGACAAGCTGACCTCTGTTATCTCTACTGGTGTCCCACTTGGGTGGATGTATCAGGAGAGATCATTATATTCTGATGCCAATAAAAAATTGACAGATCTTGAGAAAGCAACTGGCTTGGATCCAACTCTGACTTATCCCTATATGTATCGAGCTGCTTCCTTAATGCGAAAACAGGATGTTCATGCAGCTCTTGCTGAAATCAACCGTATTCTTGGATTTAAACTTGCACTTGAATGTTTGGAACTCCGGTTTTGCTTCTACCTTGCCCTTGAAGATTATCAAGCAGCAATCTGTGACATTCAAGCCATTCTTACTCTCTCCCCTGATTATCGAATGTTTGAGGGTAAGGCAGCTGCATTACAACTCCGAACTCTTGTGCGTGAGCATGTTAACAATTGGACGACGGCAGATTGTTGGATTCAGTTGTATGATAGATGGTCTTCAGTTGATGATATCGGGTCTCTGTCTGTAATCTACCAGATGCTTGAGTCTGATGCAGCAAAAGGTGTTCTGTACTTCAGACAGTCCTTGCTTCTTCTACGGTATGCTATTAACCTCAGCCTGTGACTTCTTTTTCATTTAGTTATTTTTGTTTTGTGGGCAACAATGATTGGCTTGTTGCAACATTAAATAAGCAATTGTTAGATAAAAGAACCTTTTCTGACAGGTTAATAGGTTATCTATTTGTGTTTAGGATAACTTCTTTTCTTCATTTATTGGTATTGCTGTTTTTTTTTTTTTTTTGACACAAAGCTTCAGATGGTTTTTGAGCATTGTTACTTAATGTAACTAGATTTTGGTAGATAGTTGGGAATATGCTAATTTTTTTTAGATAAGAGCATATGCTAAATCAGTAACTTTATTGTAAAATGTATGCATGCTGAATGCATAACCAACGACAAGACAGGCATGCTCTGAATTCAGCCTGGGGATTTCAAACTTATACTTGCTGAAATGAGGGGAGGGCTGAATCTACACTACATGAATAGGAGATTCGTCTGGATTATTAGCCATTTCTATTTGCTTAAATTATTTGCTTCCTCTGCATAGCATTTCCTATGTACTTCAACTGATAAAATATAAAAGAATCAATAATCCAGTCCCTTATTTTCTAACTTTGCCATGTTATTGCATATTCCTTCTCTGGCTCTCACTCAGTTCTGTGCAATACACATCTGTGAAGTGGGAAAGATAATTTTTTTCCTAGTGTGAGTTTTTTTTTTTCCTCAAGTGATAGGTGAAGATTTCTTTCATTGACTTATCAGGTTGAACTGTCCAGAAGCTGCCATGCGGAGTTTGCAATTAGCTCGTCAACATGCATCCAGTGAACATGAGAGGCTGGTTTATGAGGGCTGGATCTTGTATGATACAGGTCATTGCGAGGAAGGGCTCCAAAAGGCTGAGGAATCAATTAAAATTAAGAGATCCTTTGAAGCTTTTTTCTTGAAGGCCTATGCACTGGCAGACTCTAGCCAAGATCCGTCTTGTTCTTCTACAGTTATTTCCCTCCTAGAAGATGCTTTGAAATGCCCTTCGGATAGGTTGCGCAAAGGTCAGGTATGGTTTTCCCAATCACCTTGTGTGTTCATAGCAGAAGTCGACCAAGTGGGATGATTGTTGATAGGATGAATATCTTTCAATATTACTTGATATGAATCTATTACGTCTTATTAGAACTAGATATCGTTGAAAGCCTTGAGATCGTTGTGAGAGAGAGTGAGCTCTACTCTAATTATTTACTGTTTGATACCTTATTTGTAACTACCCCTTCCATTCACCATTGCAAACAGGAGACCTTTTCTACAACTCTAGCTTTTTACGTTCTTGCCTCTTTAGATCTCTAGTTTTCTAAGTTTTTGCCTCTTTTCGTACATTTCATTTATTAATTTAAAAATTGACCGTTGTGTTGGTTGCCATCCAGTAAATGCTGATGAGTCTGAATTGTATAATCAGTGAAGGACTAAATATATATATATATATGGTGTCTTAACATGAAAGTTTAATAATTATTATTTATTGATGCAATTGATACCAACCATGTATTGTCCCCAAATCGTGGAAATAATAAAGGGCTTAGAGATAATGGGTTTATACCATGGTGGCCTACCTAGGATTTAGTATCTTACAAGTTACCTTGGCAGTCAAGATGCACATAATCTAGTCTAGTCCAGACAATCATGGATATAATATATATACCACATAAAATAATTCTAGCCAATATCTTTCTGAATACATCTTCCTGAATACAGGAATTGACTGATAACTGTGAGCTGTCATTTTCTTCTCAGTTTGTGTCTATGGAATGATAGTTGTGATGAGGCAGCTTGCCAACTAATTGTGGCTTGTATTGAAAAATTGTCTTTAACTTGTGTAACTGCCCATTTCTTTTTAGGCACTGAACAATCTTGGAAGTGTTTATGTTGACTGTGAGAAGCTAGACTTAGCGGCTGATTGCTACATTAATGCCCTCAAAATCCGTCACACTCGAGCGCATCAAGGTCTTGCTCGGGTTCATTATCTCAGAAATGATAAGGCTGCTGCATTTGAGGAGATGACCAAACTAATTGAAAAAGCGCGCAATAATGCATCTGCATATGAGAAGAGGTCCGAGTATGGTGACCGTGACTCAACCAAAGCAGATCTAGATATGGTTACTCAGTTGGATCCTCTTCGGGTGTACCCATACAGATACCGTGCTGCAGGTTGTTATATCCTTCCCTGATTTACTCGAGTTTATTCTAGAATTAGGAGTTAATTATTTGCCCCATATTTCAAGCCATATTAAGCACCAAATTATTTTTTGAGAGAATGATACCTAACAATAATATGAATTATATACATTAGTATGTCTTTGAAAATCCTACATTTGTTGGAGAGGAGAACGAAACACCTTTTATAGGGTGTGGGAACCTCTCTCTAGCAGAAGCATTTTAAAAACCTTGAGAGAAAGCTCGAAAGAAAAAGCCCAAAGAAGACAATATTTGTTACCGGTGAGCTTGGACTATTACAAATGGTATCTCAGAGTTAGACACCAAGTGATGTGCCAATGAGGAGGTTGGGTCCCAAAGGGGGTGGACATGAGGCGGTGTACCAACAAGTACATTGGGCCCTGAAGGGGGGTTCCTCATCGATTGAAGAAGGGAATGAGTGTCAGCGCCTCGCTGGGCCCTGAAAGGGGATGGATTGTGAGATCTCACATCGGTTGGAGAGGAGAACGAAACACCCTTTATAAGGGTGTGGAAACCTCTCCCTAGCAGACGCGTTTTAAAAACCTTGGGAGGAAGCCCGATAAAGAAAGCTTAAAGAGGACAATATCTGCTAGCGGTAGGCTTGGACTATTACACTCATTATCCATTTGACTTTTTAGACCCGTTACTATTCAGCCATGGCTAGGGATTTAGTCTTTTGTTTGTCAACTAAATGATTTCTTCTCTATGGGAGCAGTGTTGATGGATAGCCACAAAGTAGATGAAGCGATTGCAGAACTATCAAGGGCAATAGCATTCAAAGCAGACCTTCACCTTCTACACCTCCGAGCGGCATTCCGCGAGCATACTAAAGATGTGTTGGGAGCTCTACGAGATTGTCGAGCTGCTCTTTCGGTTGACCCGAACCATCAAGAAATGCTGGAGCTTCATAGCCGGGTAAACAGCCATGAACCATGAGGTGCAGTATCATCAACACAATGTATACTAGAGCATGTGTATGTAACGACCATTTCATAGATTCTTTTCCACCCCCCGTATTTCAGGTTTTGTAAGTTATAAATTTGTACGATTTTTGGTAATTATATTCAATTAATGTAAAATCATCCGTTTCCGTTTCTGTGTTCTCAATAATGTATTCTGATGAATCAGGGAAAATACTTGTAATTTACAATTTCATATCCTTTTCTCCAATTTCATACACCATAACCCATACAAGTTGCTTGAAAACTATTATTGTATTTCCTTGAAAGCTCGAAAATTATTGTTGGATGCAAATTCTATTGAACGCAGTTTGGAGTCCTAGCTCTTAGTAAAATTTGATAGAATACGCATGCGCATGCTATATTTTTAAAAATTTGGTTTAACGGTCAGTTTGGGGTAGAAGATAGTACTAAAGTTGAGCGGAAAGCCAGTTGACTGGACATCTAGGGGTAAAGCACTGTTTTGGTGCAGGGCGTGAGAGTGGTACCAAATCGAGGCAAATTTTGAATTCTAGATATGATCTCAAAATGGCCACGAGAGTGGTACCAAATCGAGGCAAACTCTGAATACTAGATATGATCTCAAAATAATAGGGGTCAAGGTCAGCCAGTGAGATGATGGGGGATAAGCTTCATCGTTAGGAGGGAAACAGCTCGAATCACCAGTTAAGGCCCCTAAATAACCGCTCAGTGATAAAGGAGGTAGGGGTGCAGAGACAGCTAAGAAGAGAAGCAACCACCCTTAAAAGAGTGCGTAATAGCTCACTAATTGAGTGCTCTTTCTAAAGTAAAACACTTTTTAAAGTCCATGCCAAAATTCAACATTGAAGGAAGGAGAAGTTAGGGGAGAGAGATTGAATTCGAAAGAGAAGTTAAGGAAGGAATATATAAAAAGAAGCGAAATGAGGAAGAGACAAAAAGAAGGGGAGACGAAAAATCATAAAAGAAATATAGGAGGAATAAATAAGAAAAAAATTAACTTTTAAAAAATGTATTATTATGAAAACATTTAAAAATTTAGGATTATTTATTTATTTTTATAGAGAAAGTTAAAATATAATATGGATATATAGTTAAAAAGAATGCTATATTACCGTATTAATGTTATATTCTTAAAAAAAAATAAAAAAATAAAAAACATTTATAGAGTAATAAAATAGATTTAAAATAAAAATGATTGAAGTAGAGACAAAGCAAAGCAAGCAGTTCCAGAACCTTCTGCCAGAAATGGCTATTTGCAGAAAGCGATGCCCAAAATAAAGGAATAATAAATTGGGAGAGATGGCCTTCTAGAATTTTCTTTTCTTTTCTTTTCTTTTTTCTTTTTCTTTTTTTTTTTTAATTTTTAAATTTTAAATTTAAGTTGAAGCACTTCCGGACAAAGCCGTACAAAAATCAGGCGCCACTTGCAGACTTGCAGTTGGGACTTTGGAACATAGAATTTATTAATATGACATTATTAGCCCTTCATTCTCCCTACTCCTATTTCCTTTAAATAAAATAAAATAAATTCTTTTTTTTTCCCTAAAAAATTTCATATTTCTAAAAGATTTTCCAAAAATACCTTTGATGAAAACCATTATTCTTATTATGTCTAATAGCTCAATCTTGTCCTCTTTCGGATTTCCCTCCCCAACTTGTCCTTTTTGGACTTTTCCGGCCTTTCCCGGCCTTTCCCTCTAAGGGTTCAACTCAAAGTTATTCTCTTTGGATTCCCCAACTCTAGGTTTTAAAACGTGTCTCTTTGGACTTTCCATCTCAAGCTTCAGCTCAAGGTTTTGAAATGCATTTGTTAAGAGGAAATTTCCACACCTTTATAAACAATGCTTCGTTTTCCTCATCAGCCGAGGTGGTATTACTCCTACGTTAAAATTTTGAAGACCTCTTGATTCAGCTTCCCCGTTTAGTATTGTTATCACCTCAACAGCCTTCGTCCTACTTACATGCTTACATGCAAGAGTGATGAAGTTAGGTTGTTACACTATGTTTATTGAACAAAAACGGGTAGGAAGAGGAGCTCCACAAATGAAGAGATTAATATTTTATATAATATTTATATTCTACCACGGGTGTTAATGGTTGCGATGTGAACAGACGTTTTTGATTTGATGAAGAATTGAAACCGCGTTTGTCCTCTCGCAATCATCACCATGGCTTTTCTGTCGTTTCCTCACCATAAAACGTCCTTCTCTATTGGATTCTTTTCAATTTCTCTGCCATTTTAGTTATTGCCTCTCATCTTCATGGCTGCATCTCCCTACAACACACCATTCTCCTATTCCCAATTTCCATAATCACGTCGGTTTTCTCCTTTCCGTTTCTTAATCTTCGCCAATTTCTGTTCATACGCTTCTACAATCATTCTTCCTCTTTTTATGTTTTGCAGTTGTTGTATCCATGAATCCTCAATATCCAGTGAAGGAGGAGGACTGGGGCTCATGTTCGCCGGAGCTACGCGGCGGTTATTGCTTCCCAGCCACGCCCCAGCCGATGGAAGGTCTTTACGACGGTGGTCCTCCGCCATTTCTGATCAAGATATTCGACATGGTGGAGGATCCAATTACCGAACACATTATCTCTTGGGGCAGGGGAGGAATCAGCTTCATCGTTTGGGATCCCCAAGCCTTCTCCGCTAATTTACTGCCTCGATTCTTCAAGCACAACAACTTCTCAAGCTTCATCCGACAGCTCAACACTTACGTAAGTTTCCAATTCTCTTCAATATTGCATCTAAGATCGAATAATCGAAATTATAGAAAGAATGGTCTTAAGTTCTTGAATACTGTATTCAACTGGTTGTGGTTTCTGAGTTTTCTGAATTCTGTATTGCCATTTTTCTTCTGTTCTAGACTTCTTTTAGTTGGGGAGGGAATTTTTAGTATGAACTATGATTCCAGGGTTTTAGGAAGATTAATCCAGAGAGATGGGAGTTTGCCAATGAAGGATTCTTGAGAGGCCAAAAGCATCTTCTTAGGACAATTAGGAGAAGAAAACCACTAGCATCACCCTCTGAGCCTCTGCCTCTAGAACAAGAACCAGGTCCTTGCGTTGAAATCGGTCGATTCGGGCTTGACGCCGAACTCGACCGGTTGAAACGGGACAAGCAAATGGTGATGATGGAGCTAGTTAAGCTGAGACGTGAGCAGCAGAGTACAAGAGCCTACCTACAAGCAATGGAGCAAAAGCTGCAAGGGACAGAGATGAAACAGCGACAGATGATGAAATTCTTAGCAAGAGCAATGCAGAATCCAGACTTCATTCAGCAGCTAGTGCACCAGAAGAAGAAAAGGGAGGTTGAGGAGGCAGCAACAAAGAAGAGGAGATGGCCCATTGATCAAGGACCAAGCAGCTCCAGAGGCAGTGAAGAAGGAACCTCAAACCCCATTAAGATTGAGCCTCTGGAGTTTTGTGGATATGAAGTATCTGAACTGGAAGCACTTGCTATGGAAATGCAAGGACTAGGGAAGGGAGTTAAGAAAGAAGCAGAAGTAAAGGAAGAGCTGCAGGGTCCAGAGAGTGAAGATACAGAGCTGGATGAGGGGTTTTGGGAGGAGTTTTTCAGTGAAAGAATAGAAGAAGACGACGTGAAAGCGTTGAGTCATCGCTTCGACAGTTTCGGTTCGACCCGAAAGTAAGGTAGCTGGAAAACACACTATCTCCATTTCTTCTGGGTAAGTAAGAAAGCAAACAAACAAGTTTTGTCCCATATTCCAATTCCTTAATCAAACATTCCTTCCAAAACCCCTAACTCTCAAACTCTCTAATGATGAACAGGATGGGAAATCATGGCAAGCACAGAATTAAAAGGGAAACTGTCTTTTCCTCCCTCTTTCTCTCTCTCTATGCCATTAATTTTCCCACAACAAAGCTGCTCCTCATTTTTTGTGTGGTGGGTTTTTGAAGTTGCAGGTAAATTTAGGTGGCGAGGGAGGCCATGGGAGGCTGAGGATGATACAGAATCAAGGTGTGTTCTGTTTCACCGTGGATTACTGCATAAAGTTTGTATGTTTGTTGCAGTAAAAGAGAGGGTGTTTGTGGCCAGAAATGAGGGAAGAGGGTGCAGCAGAAGCAGCCAAAATGGAGGAGGGCCCAAGCTGGTGAGCAGCAGCGGTTGGTAGTTAAGTGGGTCGGTGTGGCTGTTTGTTGGTTTGAAATGAAATGGTCGGTGTTGTGCCTGAGTTTTCGTTGTCAAGCCACTTCCAAAAAATCCCAGATATTTCCCCATGCCTTTCACCGCCCTTGCCATCCATAAGCAATTGCTACTTCATTCGTCGTCCCACTACTTTTTTTTTGTTTCTCTCTCTCTCTTTTCTATTGTCTTTTGAGATTGATGTTTATATATTTATAAACTTCTCGGATTTTTTTTCGGATTAATCGATTCTTATGTGAGATCTCACGATCTCACGTCAGTTAGAGAAGGTAACCAGACATTCCTTGATGTGAAAACGACTCCCTATCTGTTTTAAAACCTTAAGAGGAAGCTCAAATAGAGGTAGATTGTAAGATTCCACATCAATCGAAAGGAAAACTAAACATCCCTTTGAAATCTCACCTCAATAGACACGTTTTGAAACTTAAAACCCAAAGGACTTGAGTTTTGTTATTTATTTTAACTAATATTTTCAAACGTTAAATCAAGTTTTGAAAACTAAACCATGTTCTTTTAATAAGAATTCAATTTTTTTTTTATAGAATAGTTAAAATTAATAAGAAATTTGAGGAAAGAAACACAAATTTTAAAAACTAAGAAATAAAAAATTTGCAAAATATGATTTAGATTAATTTTTTGTATTTAAAATATAATATTATTAAAATCAATATTTAGAGGTTAAAATGTCAGTTTGAAATCCCATAGACTAAATATATATATATATTATAAATATATTATTAATATTAAAATAAAAATGAATATAAAAATAATTTGCATAACTATTGGTATATTAATATAGAAACAAAAAACATATTAAAATTATTTGGAAAATAAAACTGAAATTGTTTTTAAAAAAAAAAAATAGAAAATTCTTCAAATTTTAAGGGAAAAACAAAAAAAGAAAGCAAATATTTTCCTTCATAATTTATTTTTTATTTATTTTAAAAAATAGTTTAATAATTATAAACTAAAACATAGCAAATGCTTAACTAGTTGATAATTATAAATTAAGAATAAAAATACGTAATAAAATATAAAATCCAAATCCTTAAAATAATGAAACATAATGAATAAGGTAAAGTACCTGAGGAATTTGGAGTGTTGCATTCCAACAAGTATGGATCCCTCCCAAGCTTCACATGATCCCTGTTTTCTTCTATCTATATCTCAACTTCTCAACCAACCAAATGAACAACCAAAAACAACATACAAACGTAAATAACGATAATGTTGTAGGGTTAGGCGGGTTGTCTAGTGAGATTAGTCGAGATAGCGAGCAAGTTAGTCCACACACTCACGGATATCAAAAAAAAAAAAAAAAAGAGAAAAAGTAAGAAAAAGAGAGAAAGTCACATGCATGATTTGGGTTTGGGTGGGTTATGAAGATGCTGAGTCTTACTTTCGTTCTCCATGCATATGGTCCCCTAACTTTGTGTTATGATGTCTCGATTTCCGCTCTTTTATGGAAGATTTTACAATGAGAGAGTTGCATAGAGTGAAAAACCTCGAGGGAAAGCCCAAATAAGACAATATTGGCTAGCGATGGGTCTGGGCTGTTACAAATGGTATCAGACCCAGACACCGAGCGATGTGCCAACGAGAAGGCACGAGGCAATGTGTCAGTAAGGACACTGGGCCCTGAAGGGGGGTAGATTGTGATATCTCACATCGGTTGGGAAGGAGAATGAAACACACCCTTTATGAGGGTGTGGAAACCTCTCCCTAGCAGAGCGTTTTAAAAACCTCGAGGGAAAGTCCAAGGAGGACAATATCTGCTAGCGGTGGGCCTGGGCCGTTACACAAATTTTGTCTTACCTTTGGACCATTGCCACTCTGCCATATACCTGCCTTTTCTTCATTTTTTTACTTTTTCATTTTCAAACCCCTTCACATACACTTCACCAACAAAAACTGAGACTTCCCCCTCTATTTATATCCCCTCATCTTCATTCAAACAATAACACCAACTCTCAGACTTTGCCGTGCATCACCAGCAGTTGAAGCTGCCAGCATGATCTAACCTTCTTCTTGCTCTTCACACAAGGAAAGATCAGATCATATGGTAGCTTCACCTTTTGATGGTATCACGAGAAAATCGAATTACGACACAACCAACCAGCTTCTCTTGCCTACAAGCATCAATCTTACTACTTTCAAACACTTCCCCATTTCTTCTTCCTTGCAGAGTTCATCTTATTTTAGCAAATTCTTCTACACCTAAACAACCATTTGTGAATATCTCTTCTTGTTGCAGGATGGTTTATTTGGTCGTGTCATCGACAATAATGATATACATACTTTCTAGAAAGGGTAGTGGGCGATAGCAATGGAGATTCTTGAGCTTTGCCTAAAAATGGCGTAGGAAGCAGATCTGCACTAATGCTTACCTCTCTGCTCTGGGAATCTGTTAGGGTTTTGAGTGACAGAATTTATCTTATCCAAAGAGGTTTTGGTGCTTTTGAGATCCCCTTCTCCATGCTTATTGCATTGAAGTTCTACAAACATTTATTTATTTATTATTTTTTTCTGCAATATAATATAGCCAAGTTTAAAGCTCCTGTCCTGTGGGATGCTGATTGGAATACTTTGTCCCCTGATGGGATATTTTTATTTTATTCGGAGGAAGCATAAAAAATGAAAGAATAGTGTTTATACGTTGTTGGAACATTATATATTCCCTTATTCCCAAACATGAACAGTCCTGAATCTTTGTTTTTGGCCTTGTTTGAATGAAGGACTCGAGACGACCTATGTTCCATGGGTACATAAACCGAGTGTTCGTTCTCAGCTATGATCCTATGAATTTGTTAATCCCATGGCTACATAAACTTAGGCTAATGAAACCTATCTATCTTCTGTAGTAGGTCTTAATGTTTACAAGTCATAACCTTCCAGAAAAATACAGCATGAATCCAGTTTTCTATAATTCATTTGCAGCACAATCCACACATTTAGCTTCAAACTTCACAATCCTAAGCTAATTAAAATCAAATAACTAAAGCAAACTATTTTTTCTAATTAATATTCAACAAATTCCTTTCGTCATTCATCGTTCTTCTGTTAAGAGTGAAACTCAAAACAACAAAACAACAAAACAACGAACTAACCAACCTGGGTATAGCTTAGAACATTAGAACATATACCGTCGATCAAGAAGTCAAAGGTTAGGAAAAAAAAAACCATTCAAGAACAATGATGAAGTTAGTTTTTATGATTGCATGCAAATGATTGGTTTAATAGGAAGAATGTCATATTCAATTACCCCCTTCCCACCTAGAGCAAACATATCCGAATCTCAAACCAGTCGATGAAACCATGGACAGTATTGACTCGAGGAATAGGAGAATGTTTTGAGGTGTTTGAGTGTTCATAGGAGGAGCTGCCTGTCTGAATCTTAGACTAGGTTGTCTGTTTACGAGGAGCCTTTTATTTTGGGCTTTGCTTTTCGTATGGCACATTTCTATTCTAAAGTTTGGTCTTTCATTAAAAGAAGAAAAAAGAACGCACATTGTATCTAAATTACAAGCATCTAATTCTTTTCCCTAAAAAATGTGCCTACAGTGGTGTGTTTTCACAAATATCGACACGCATACATATTGTACCTTCAGATATATCATGGAAACGAATTTCAATTCCCTAAATTCCAATCAATCAGTAATAAAATCTACAATTACCCAAATCGACTATGGTAAGTATTGGGTTATTCAAGCAAATCATTTTCATCATACTCACATTGATTTAACCACAGCTGCCACAAAGGATCAGAAACAAAATTAAGCATTGAGAAGCTGCTTTCATTTGGATGCTTTGTCCGCCGTTCTATCAAACATTGAAACCACGTCGTCATCACTTAATTATAAGGATTTCATCCAGAAGGATTAGTTTTCATGTGGTGCTGCTGAATCAGCACTAGAGCAAAGAGCCTAGTTCAAGCTGTTAGGCTGGAATATTAATTTCGATACACCAAGATAGTTCATATAAAATTGAGACAAAACAGTATTGCAGGAATTCAAACTCATGATTCCTACTTTGATAAATAATACTAGACCTAAGAGTTCAATATTCAAGCTATTAATCCAGGTAACTCAATCTTTTAAATTTATATTTTAACATGGAGGCTGCCTCGATCAGTTGATTTTGATCCTACTCGATGCAGTGCATTAGGTGGATGACATCAAAAACCATGAAGAAATGGGAAATCCATCCTAAGGAGAACAAAATCTTCCATTAGAAAGATACCCTTCTAATTCATCATAAGTACAGACTGTGGCTTTTCCTACCCTTACACAGAAATGGGAAGAAATGACTATCGAATTCGGTAATGGCCCAAGCCCACCGCTAGCAGATATTGTCCTCTTTGGGCTTTTCCTTTCGGGCTTCCCTTTAAGGCTTCAAAACGCATCTGCTAGAGAGAGGTTTCTACACCGTTTTTATAAGGATCACAGTGTTTCAAATGTTCTAACTGGACCTATTACACGATCCAAGGCCAAGAAGATTCAACAAGCATTCATTCTTCATCTACAAAAATGGATAGGCTCGGTTCAACCATCATTTCATGTGTTACAAGTTGATTCGATTGAGGAAGAACCATTTTGGAACATTGTAATCCTTATCATTTATAAAAAGTGTTTCGTTCTCCTCCCCAACCAATACGGGATCTCACAAATTTCAACAAAGAAAATAGTTAACAAATTAGCTATAGTATACTAAAATTAATTTGACTAAACATAAGTTAGTATACCACTTATGTAATTAACCAACCAGAAATAAATGCTTGTGAACCTGGAATTACCAAGAAACTGACCCGGATTGTGGTACATGAACATGTATGGCCGTCCGAACAGATATTTCCAATAATTAAGCACGGAACTAGCCTGTACATGAACACGAAGAACGATTCAATTATATTGTTTTCAGTCATCAATACAATGCTACTTGACAACAGTCACGTAAATGCATCATAATCTTGGATACTAATGTTGTGCGCTGTAATGCCACATACAACCTGCTCTGATACCACTTATTGTGGCGGAATGCCACGACCAAAATGTTTTAATATCCAATTGTTGTAGCGGAATGCCACAACCAAAAATGCTATGATACCACTTGTTGTGCCATAATGACACAACCAAAGAGCTCTGATACCCAATTGTTGTAGTCCAAATGCGAAAGCAAAATCGATCGCACTCACACACTTAAACAGAAATTAAGCAACGAGACACAAAGATTTACATGGTTCGGAGAGAAGAAATTCTCCTACCTCCATGAGTGGTAGCCAATCACTATAACCAAAATGTTTACAAGTCTATCTCTCACACTCTCACACTACAAAGTCTCTTACAAAGTTCCTTCCAATTGTCTCCGGTTAAATACAAAATAACAATGACTTCACAATACTCCACATGACTCCGCACCTAAAAACAGTGCTAAACAAGCTTATATTCTCATATGGGGAATATTAATCAAAATGGTTAAAACTAAATGGGATTGAATAACAATTTACAATGACAATTTACAATGAAAGTCCTGAAATGATATTTATAGCTCGTGGTTTGACAATTGATCATGAAAACAGATTCATCAGCATGTAACCACAGCCAAACCACAATGTGAATTATCAAGAGAATTTGTTTCGTTTAACGCAATTGTATTAAGTTTATGAATAAGAGAACAAGGCAATATACCTCTACATTGTCCACTGATCAGACCTTTTGAAAAATTCCAATTCTAGCATCCATGAACGGCTTACAACACTTCTCCTTCGCGAAACCAGCACACTTCTCCTTTGCAGCTGCCAAACAAGCCTCCATTTCTCGCTCTTCGCACATCTCCCTCGCCTTCAAATCCAACCCCTTCTTCGATTGCATCAAAAATCCCCACCACCGCGGCTTGCATTTGTCGGAAGCAAGTATTGAACAACCAATCCTCGCGCCGGCCTCGCATTGTTCAATAATCTTCGACTCGCATATTTCGTATGCAGATTCCCACGCTTGGGGATCCCTAAATGCAAGCAAGTACGGACCTGCCGAGGGATTTTCGGATTGACCGGCTCGAATTGGCCCACGAATTGGGCGTCCGAAGGTGATAACTGTCGAAGAGGCAGAGTACTCGTCGGGATTCTGAGGTTGTGAAGACTCCATCATCGGTGGGCTCAGAAAGCTCATCGTCGCTGCTTTTTGTATGCATATATATAGATATATATGTATGTGTATATAATACGTATGTATGTATATATAACTCCCAAAATTTACCATTAGTTTGAAAGATAACGACATTGCCAGGATGTTTACAGAAAGATCTACCATGGTGTTGCAGTCACCTATAATAAAAATTATGACCATTACAAATTTTCATCCAAAATTCCAATTTTTTTTAAAAATTAGTTGTTGTTATTATTATTATTATTTGTAAATTAGCATATTATCTAGATAAATACTTTTACTCATGATAATTGGTGCAATTAGTCTATATATTCGATGAGTTTTGAAAAAAATTTACTTTAAAAACTAAATTTAAGATTTATTGAAAGTACATTGAGAAAGAGAAGAAAGAGATCGAGACTATAAAATAGTTCAACCCGTCAATCATCATCACTTTTGTAGCTCTTGCAAATCTATCTCGACCGAGAATCAATGAGACGAGAAACATACTCCATCTCAAATTTGGATGGATCGATTGGGAAGAGCTTTGAATGAAGGATTTTGGCAATCACACAATGGGCAGCTAGGATTATTACCATAAAACAAACAAACATGAGATGAAATCACATTTGTTTGCTGTTGAAGTGTTCTAATTTACAGTGTGAGGGCAAATGGAACCAATAAACATAAATGAAAGATTGTTCTTAGGATTATGAAGTTTTCACCCTAATGGACATAACATGTTGGAAGGAGATCAACTGATTGTCATTATCCTCGCAAACTCTTCGTAACTCACTCGGCCATCGCCATCCAAATCGGCCTCTCGAATCATCTGTTCGGCCTCATCATCTGTCAATCTCTCCCCCAAGTTTATCATCACATTTCTCAACTGCACATTCAAATCATGGAAATCACTTTGTTGGTCAGACATTTGGCTTATCATTTCAGTTAAATGGACTTCATTAGGTGTAACAACCGATATGGTTTTCTTTAGACTTTTCCTTTCGGGTTTTCTCCAAAAGTTTTTAAAACGCATGCTAGAGAGAGGTTTCCACACCCTTATAATATAATAATGGAGGTTTTGTGAATTGTCTTTTGACTTTTAAATTTTAAAAGTAGCCTGTCTTTTAGTTTTCTTTGACCACCACAATTGTAATCGTCCAAGCCCACGGCTAGCAGATATTGTCCTTTTTAGGCTTTTCATTTCAGACTCTCCCTAAAAAGTTTTTAAAACGCCTCTACTAGAGAGAGATTTCCACTCTTACAAAAAATGCTTTGTTCCCCCTCCAACCGATGTGAGACCTCATAATCTACTTCCTTGGGGCCCAACGTCCTCGGTGGCCTCATAATCTACTTCCTTGGGGCCCAACGTCCTCGGTGGCACACCGTTCGGTGCCTGACTCTAATACTATTTGTAATAGTCCAAGCATACCGCTAGCAGATATTGTCCTCTTTGGGATTTCCCTTTCGAATTTTCCTTCAAAATTTTTAAAATGCGTCTACTATGTAGAGGTTTTTACACCCTTATAAAGAATGTTTCCTTCCCCTCTTACACCAAGGTGGGACCTCACAGCAATGGCCTTCAAATGGGTTCAAGGGGCAGGCAAAGTAACAACAGCAGAGAGAGATCTCTAAAAGAGACCCTTTGGCAAAATGAAAAACTGTGTTGTGAAAAGTGTTTTGGGTGTACGTCATCAGACCAAATTCAGGGAGAAGTATAAGAAAATGATTGAAATTTACCTCAAAAGCTGAGATATAACCATCTTGGTCCCTATCAAACACTTTGAAGGCTTCTTTTAGCTCCTCACTAACATTGTCCTGCAAAACCCAACCAACCCCTTCTCAGCCACCATGAACACATGTAAAATAGCGGTGATGTTTTGCTCCTTTACCTTCATTTTCCTTGCCATGACATTTAGAAACTCATCAAAGTCTATCATCCCGTTACTATCGACATCGACTTCACTGATCATATCTCTAACTTCATTCTTGGTGGGGTGTCCATCCAATGTCTGAATTGCTGCCCCTAGCTCCTCCACCGTGATGAATCCTACAAATATCCCCACAACTTTCACTTAACAATCACCCTTAAACCTTCACCCTTTATCAACGCAAAAGAAAACAATTCTCACAAACAATATACTAATCTTTACGCACGTAAGAAGTTAAGATTATCGTAACTAAGAGAAAGATATTGAGAATTGTTGGGAGGGAGTCCCACATTGGCTGATTTCGGAATGATCGTGAGTTTATAAGTAAGGAATACATCTCTATTGGTATGAGGCCTTTTGGGAAAACCCAAAGCAAAGACATGAGAGCTTATGCTCAAAGTGGACAATATCATACCATTGTGAAGAGTCATGATTCTTAACACGGTATCAGAGTCATGCCCTTAACATAGCCATGTCAATAGGTACGAAATCTTTTGGGAAAACTCAAAGCAAAGCCATGACAGCGTATGCTCAAAATGGATAATATCATACAATAGTGGAGAGTTGTGATCCCTAACAAAAGAATGATTAAAACCGATCATCCATAGAACCAAGTTTTTTTTTCTTCCAAGTAATCTGATATGAATCTATGAATTCCCAGATTCTGTTTAGCTTGTTAATATTCAATTGAGCTCGTTAAGTTAGTGAATCTAATGAACAAACTATCAATTTTTCTAAATTGAGCAGCTTCCATGATCATTAACATATACTTCTTCCATCGACACGATTTAATTTAAAAAACAAGAACAAGAACAAGAACAAACTATAAGTTTCAGCATCATTTTTCATTCAGGCAAAATATCAAACAGGTTGTGGGCAAAACAAAAAGGGAGAGAAAGATGAACTCACCATCAGCATCCTTGTCGATTAAACAGAAGGCTTCACGAAAATCAGCGATCTGATCTTCTGTAAGAGCTTCAGCAGCCATAAAAGCTCGGTCGCTGTAATCAACAATTGATAGAATGAACACGAGAAAGAAGAAAACGAAGGAGTTTGTGGTGAAATGCGATTCAAACGTTTATATTCTTATATACATGTTGCAATCAGTAGGTGAGCTGAAAAAAAGAGAACAATATTGTTGATTGTTCAATGGAAAAATTGAAATAGTCAAACGCGCTCAAAGAAAATTATCATCTTCCCAGAAACATTTTCTCCTCTTTGAACGAGAAAATTTCTAGATGAAAAAAAAAAAAAAAAAAAAAAAAAA